GACTCCCTGTTTACTTTGCCTTGGTTTTATTGATGTTTAGAGAATTAAGATCACAGTAGATATTTAGCTTTTACAACAGTCTTCTCAGACTTACTTGAGAATGCTCCATGACAACTACATTGTCAACATATAAAAGAATATTAATACTTTTATCATGGATTTTTGGCATATAAGTGTCTGAAGCATATAAGAATCCTGGAATATAATTGACATAGAGGTTAAAAAGCATCAGGGTTAGAATACAACACTATCTAATATCTTATGGATAGGTATACTGTGAGGAACAGAACTGTTTGCCCCTGTACACCACTTTCAAGTGGGTGTTTGAGTAAAAGGCCTTAACCAGGAGTCTAGATTCCATGTTTAAGATAACCAATTTCTTTCACAGCATGCTTCTGTTTAAGGAATCAAGAACCACACTGAGGTCTATGAAAGCAGCGAACAGTTTATTTTAATTACTTGTTACCATGTAAAACAACACAGTTGTCTGTTGTGGAGCTCTCTGATCTAAATCCAGCTTATTTGTCCACTAAGAGTTTTTTTCCCCCCATTACCCAGTTCTTTACCTCTTAAAATGTGGAGGTTACATTTGTACATCAAGGAGGCCCATTGTCAGCCTTTCATATTTTTTTGGGTGCCAGGGTGGCTTCATTTATAAAATAGTCCTCTGAGGTAACACCTGTTATTATTTTAAGTTTTATTAATAATGATGTTTGTAAGATAGTAAAATGTACGTAAAATGAGATTTTTCGGCTATGCAGTAACACAGTACTGTACTTGCAGAACTAAAAGCGAATGTTCTAAATCTAAGAATATGAAGTCATTGAACATTAATTTTCTTTTTACAGCACTTTGCTGCTATTCTTTGACTTTTATGAGGTTTGCATATAAGGTGCAACCCAGGAACTGGTTGTTGTTTGCTTGTCACTTCACTAATGAAGGGGCACAACTTATTCAAGGAGGAAGGTTGATCAAATATAAGTGAGTATACTGTAATTATTTCTTTTACATTAAGAGTATAACTAAAACTTTCAAATATTTTTATATTTCTTACATGCTCTAACATCTATGTCAATGAATTAATCCTTTTCTTTTCCTTCCATTTTTATTCCTCCTGACAGTCTGAAAAAAAATAATTGAATATTTCATTCATGGAGAAAAATGGAAAAGGTGCTGCTCTTCACAGAATACAAGCAAGGAAGGACTTTGTCATCATCTCATTTTGTTTTTTTGCATCACCACCATCATGGAAATATTCATACTAGCATTCAGTATCATTTGTTAACTTTTTTAGCTTCCCTTATACAAAGTACTGCACAGCTGTTCAAAAATTAGATTACTTTCCTGCCTTAAAATAATTTTTTAATATTTACAAAATTACTCAACTTAAATATGTACCAACGTTTCTGAAATAAAAAACCCTGCTAATTTAAGAAAAACAAGAAAAGGCATGATTAATAAAATGTGATTTTTGAAACTGAATGTTAGTTATTTTGCAGTCAGATGTACAAATGCATTGAAATTGTGATTCTGCCTCTTTAAGAGTATTGGAGCAAAGTAAAATATTCAAAAGCATCATTCGTTAACACTTACAAAGTCAAGATTGATTATCAGTTCTCCATATAAGCAATTGAAAATGGATTCTTCAATTAACTCTTGTGAGGCTAATAGTTTAAATATATTACAACTGCTAAATTTTGTATTTGACACTTATAGCTAAAATTATTTTTACCAAGAAATAAAAAAGGCAGTGAAGTGCCAATTAATTTATGAGTGGATTCCAACAAACTCTATCCTGATTCATTACATTAGAATACAAAATTGACACAGCTTAATTTACATGATTTGGTAAAATATATCATCTTATCTTTGTATGTAAGCATTCTGCAAATGATACATTCAGTGCCAGGATGTTTTATAAGCACACGTACCTGTGAGCAAAGTAGTTACAGTACCACATCCTATTGCGGTGTAGGTAGCATCTCCCTTAAGAGTCCAATTGAATTCTTATTTATAACAAATAAAATAAATAGTATGATTCTATTTTTGCATTCATCCGCAGATGCCATATTAACACAAAAAAAATAAGAATGAATACTTTTGAAACATTATTAGGTTAATTTGACCTTTTTGTTGTGATTTTTATCAACAGTTGTAATGCACTATATATAGATTGTCTTATAATGTTATTTTACTTCAACAACTTTGGGGCAGTAAACCCTATGGGGAGAAATTACAACATAAATGTTCTAATGGCAATAAACCACTTTGAAACAATTTATAGTTTTAATGGTGTCAATTTAGAAAATGGTACTTTTTAAGGTAGAACTTCTTACAAATGAGATCTATTTTTTCTTTCTCGATACGGTGTTTCAATTTTCAGGCCAGCATTACAGTGAAAATAGACATGTATTTTCTTTTGTACTATTTACTTATGTTGATTGGGTTGTATTGGTTAATAAAAAGAGTATGGGTGTAAAAATAGTAAGCTATTACTATTTCCTAAACTTTATCAGATTTATCAGGATAATTAAATTTTGTTTTTAATGATGGAAGAGTGCACATATTTCTCTATAAAAAGGAAAGACAGGTAATCAGTTCTCTTCACAAAACTGAGGTTTCAAAAGTAATCAATCTATTAATTCACTATAGGCATCCTTAGATCAAATTCCAGCATATATAATAAAAAGCTTTGCATCATTAGGATAGGGCAAAAGTACATTTTATTACATTATATATATATTATATATATAACTTTTATATAAAAATAAAAGTTGCTACTTTTACATATTTTAAGGAAAATAACAAAACAATTGATTCTAGATATTTGACTATGGAAAAATGAGGTGATTTCTGAATTACAGAAACTTAGCTCCTGGGATGTAGTCTGGTTGTACAGAAATTTTGTTGTTTTATTATATAGATAATTAAATGCACCCCCAAATATATTTATGAACTAATTCACCTTACAAAATGTTGAGACTATTCTCTATATGTTGGGAAGCACAGCAATATGTGATGGTGACTGCCTCCAGATTTTATATAGCTGTGGAATGGCCTTAATATAGAAAACTAATTTATTGAAACAAAGCTGTTCATCCATGATGTGATTTTTGTTTCCTCCTATTGATGCTAATGGGTCTTAAAGAACACACAAAGCTGCATATATATCTTCTTCCTGTATGGATAAAGTTCTTGGTACTTTGGCTGCACTTGTGGCAATATTAGCAAAAATATGCTCAGACTGACCAGCTCTATCTCCCCAGTGAAGAAAGCTACACGTGAAATGGGTGTGACTAAGGCTTTTCTATCTTTCTACAAAAACCTGGGAGCCAATGAGTTCTAGTCCAATCATGGGCAAAAAAAGCTAATTGGGTAACATTTGGCCAGACACCGTCTCCCAAATCTAGGGAATACTTGGGCAAGCCACTTTTGAAAAGTCAAGAAAACTGCAGGAACCAGCAAATGCCAGGAGTCAAAAATTGATTTAAAAGCACAAAAGTAAAAATCAGAAATTATGAAATTGGTATTACCGCAATCAGTGACCTATAACCTTGGCAAGTTTAAGATGTCAAGACTGAAATGTTGATCTAGGTTGTGTTGTATGTGAGCATATGAATTCATGGGTTGATGATTAATATAAATTACGTTCCAGAATGCAATGAATGAAAGAATCAGAGAAATGTAGGGGGAAACCATACAAAGCTCTGAATGAATGTGATGGGGGCAGGGGTGACACTATTCAGTTAGGATTCATCAGGGGACTTCAAACTTTGCCCTTTTATGACTTGTGGACTTCAACTCCCAGAATTCCTCAGCCAGCAACTGGCTGAGGAATTCTGGGAGTTGAAGTCCACAAATCATAAAAGGGCGAAGTTTGAAGACCCCTGGGATACATGAATGGATAGGTAGAAACAAGATGAGACAATAGAGAAAACTGATTGGGACCTTGAGCTGCCAGTATGAAAAAGGAATGTAAATGTTGGGTAATTTTGAAAAAAGTCTGTTTTAAATAAATGGTTTCAGGCTGTCTCTATATTTAGAAATATACATAATCATACAGAAAAGAAAATGTGTGATTGATTTCACTGCTTATGACAGATTAGGTGAATTAGTGAAAGATAAAGGTAATGCGAGGTTCTGAATATGGGGCATTATTGGGCAGTGTCAAAGGAGATTTTCTGTGAAATTATGCTTAGCTTATATTGTTGCTCACGCGGAAAATCTAGAGTTGCTCAGAGTCGACGACGATTTGCTGGCACATAATCTATTGTTGCATTCTGCCTGTTCTGTGACAGTCCTATCGTTTATCCTGTTTATTTTTAGGCGCCAGGTTGTAACCGACTCTTTTACACAGTAGGTACTGTGTTTATATATCACAAAAAGGGAAGAGAATGGCCCTTTGCTCCATCAATAGCGAGCAGGATTGAAATCCCATTTTTGTTACATAGTTTGGGTCGTCCGACAGACAAACTGCACCTTCCAAGCCTCGTTCCCAACCTTGCTAGAGCAGCTCAAGCTCTGTAACGTAGCTTGTCTCAAGCCAGTTACACTTTTGCTTGGATCACTTTGGCCAGGTAGCTGGATTGACAGTGGCGGACCGTAAATGTTGGAGCAGGGGCGGCCTCGGAAACACCGATTGTATCACAAAGAACCTCAGAGCACCTGCTCGTTGAGAACTATTCAACAGCATCTACGGCAGTGTTTCTCAACCTTGACCATTTTAAGGCATGTGGACTTCAACTCCCAGAATTCCACAGCCAGCATTGCTGGCTGTGGAATTCTGGGAGTTGAAGTCCACATGCCTTAAAATTGTCAAGGTTGAGAAACACTGATCTACGGGGAGCCAGGACTACCGGTAGCAGTTATCCCGGGAGGAACCAGAAACGGCTTTCGCGAGCAATTAGAAACAAAGGCGAACCAGTGAAGTCTACAGGGGAGGTTTCCAGGCCCCTCCCCGCCCCCTGAATTCCGGTTCCGTCCTCCCAGCTTCCGGCTTGACGCTTCCTTAGAGGGAAGAGGAGCCGTTCCAACCGAAGCGCCCAGGCTTTGGCGGGGTCGGGGGGTTGTTTTTCGAAGCGATCAGAGGCGCGGAGGGGGCTGTCGTGGCGATGGAGAAGCTGCGGCGGGTGCTGAGAGGAGAGGACGACGAGGAGCAGGGCCTGACATCGCAGGTGTGGCTTGGGGGGGGGCGGTGGGGAAGGCGAGAGAGAGAGTCCCTTCGCGTTTCCCGCTTTAGCTCCGGGGATTCTGGCCGGGTTTTCGGGCCGCCCTGGCGGGATGCATCGCTTCCTCAAGACCAGGGGTAGTCAACCTTGGCTCTTTTATGACTCGTGGACTTCAACTCCCAGAATTCCTGAGCACAGCACAGCTGTGACTCGTGGACTTCAACTCCCAGAATTCCTGGCTCAGCTGGCTCAGGAATTCTGGGAGTTGAAGTCCACGAGTCATAAAAGAGCCAAGGTTGACTACCCCTGCTCAAGACTAACGCAGCGTTGCATTCCTGTGTAGCATGACTAGAGAGCAAGCAACTTGCAAAAGCCAATGGCGGATGGCTTCTGGGAAATACGGATGGTACCGCAGCATGGAGTCTGTCCTCTAGCCAGACTGGCCTCCTCTAGATTCCCTGGATCATAGGCTCCATCATTCCCTGCCGGCGGGGTCCTTTCAGTGCGGACTATGGTATTTGTACACGGGGAAACGGTAGGCCAGGGGTCTTCAAGCTTAGCCCTTTTATGACTTGTGGACTTCAACTCCCAGAATTCCTCAGCCAGCGTGCCTGGCTGAGGAATTCTGGGAGTTGAAGTCCAGAAGTCATAAAAGGGCCAAGTTCGAAGACTCCTGCGCTAGGCTATGAAATGTCAATCTAGTAGGCTACTCTGAATTAGCTGGATAAAGTGTCTTTCTCTCCACTCCTCTCCCCCCCCCCCCCCCNGTTGAGACTATTCTCTATATGTTGGGAAGCACAGCAATATGTGATGGTGACTGCCTCCAGATTTTATATAGCTGTGGAATGGCCTTAATATAGAAAACTAATTTATTGAAACAAAGCTGTTCATCCATGATGTGATTTTTGTTTCCTCCTATTGATGCTAATGGGTCTTAAAGAACACACAAAGCTGCATATATATCTTTTTCCTGTATGGATAAAGTTCTTGGTACTTTGGCTGCACTTGTGGCAATATTAGCAAAAATATGCTCAGACTGACCAGCTCTATCTCCCCAGTGAAGAAAGCTACACGTGAAATGGGTGTGACTAAGGCTTTTCTATCTTTCTACAAAAACCTGGGAGCCAATGAGTTCTAGTCCAATCATGGGCAAAAAAAGCTAATTGGGTGACATTTGGCCAGACACCGTCTCCCAAATCTAGGGAATACTTGGGCAAGCCACTTTTGAAAAGTCAAGAAAACTGCAGGAACCAGCAAATGCCAGGAGTCAAAAATTGATTTAAAAGCACAAAAGTAAAAATCAGAAATTATGAAATTGGTATTACCGCAATCAGTGACCTATAACCTTGGCAAGTTTAAGACGTCAAGACTGAAATGTTGATCTAGGTTGTGTTGTATGTGAGCATATGAATTCATGGGTTGATGATTAATATAAATTACGTTCCAGAATGCAATGAATGAAAGAATCAGAGAAATGTAGGGGAAAACCATACAAAGCTCTGAATGAATGTGATGGGGGCAGGGGTGACAATATTCAGTTAGGATTCATCAGAGGACTTCAAACTTTGCCCTTTTATGACTTGTGGACTTCAACTCCCAGAATTCCTCAGCCAGCAACTGGCTGAGGAATTCTGGGAGTTGAAGTCCACAAGTCATAAAAGGGCGAAGTTTGAAGACCCCTGGGATACATGAATGGTTAGGTAGAAAGAAGATGAGACAATAGAGAAAACTGATTGGGACATTGAGCTGCCAGTATGAAAAAGGAATGTAAATGTTGGGTAATTTTGAAAAAAGTCTGTTTTAAATAAATGGTTTCAGGCTGTCTCTATATTTAGAAATATGCATAATCATACAGAAAAGAAAATGTGTGATTGATTTCACTGCTTATGACAGATTAGGTGAATTAGTGAAAGATAAAGGTAATGCGAGGTTCTGAATATGGGGCATTATTGGGCAGTGTCAAAGGAGATTTTCTGTGAAATTATGCTTAGCTTATATTGTTGCTCACGCGGAAAATCTAGGGTTGCTCAGAGTCGACGACGATTTGCTGGCACATAATCTATTGTTGCATTCTGCCTGTTCTGTGACAGTCCTATCGTTTATCCTGTTTATTTTTAGGCGCCAGGTTGTAACCGACTCTTTTACACAGTAGGTACTGTGTTTATATATCACAAAAAGGGAAGAGAATGGCCCTTTGCTCCATCAATAGCGAGCAGGATTGAAATCCCATTTTTGTTACATAGTTTGGGTCGTCCGACAGACAAACTGCACCTTCCAAGCCTCGTTCCCAACCTTGCTAGAGCAGCTCAAGCTCGGTAACGTAGCTTGTCTCGGCCAGTTACACTTTTGCTTGGATCACTTTGGCCAGGTAGCTGGATTGACAGTGGCGGACCGTAAATGTTGGAACAGGGGCGGCCTCGGAATCACCGATTGTATCACAAAGAACCTCAGAGCACCTGCTCGTTGAGAACTCTTCGGAGGCCGCTATTCAACAGCATCTACGGCAGTGTTTCTCAACCTTGACCATTTTAAGGCATGTGGACTTCAACTCCCAGAATTCCACAGCCAGCATTGCTGGCTGTGGAATTCTGGGAGTTGAAGTCCACATGCCTTAAAATTGTCAAGGTTGACAAACACTGATCTACGGGGAGCCAGGACTACCGGTAGCAGTTATCCCGGGAGGAACCAGAAACGGCATTCGCGAGCAATTAGAAACAAAGGCGAACCAGTGAAGTCTACAGGGGAGGTTTCCAGGCCCCTCCCCGCCCCCTGAATTCCGGTTCCGTCCTCCCAGCTTCCGGCTTGACGCTTCCTTAGAGGGAAGAGGAGCCGTTCCAACCGAAGCGCCCAGGCTTTGGCGGGGTCGGGGGGTTGTTTTTCGAAGCGATCAGAGGCGCGGAGGGGGCTGTCGTGGCGATGGAGAAGCTGCGGCGGGTGCTGAGAGGAGAGGACGACGAGGAGCAGGGCCTGACATCGCAGGTGTGGCTTGGGGGGGAGGGTGGGGAAGGCGAGAGAGAGTCCCTTCGCGTTTCCCGCTTTAGCTCCGGGGATTCTGGCCGGGTTTTCGGGCCGCCCTGGCGGGATGCATCGCTTCCTCAAGACCAGGGGTAGTCAACCTTGGCTCTTTTATGACTCGTGGACTTCAACTCCCAGAATTCCTGAGCCAGCACAGCTGGCTCAGGAATTCTGGGAGTTGAAGTCCACGAGTCATAAAAGAGCCAAGGTTGACTACCCCTGCTCAAGACTAACGCAGCGTTGCATTCCTGTGTAGCATTACTAGAGAGCAAGCAACTTGCAAAAGCCAATGGCGGATGGCTTCTGGGAAATACAGATGGTACCGCAGCATGAAGTCTGTCCTCTAGCCAGACTGGCCTCCTCTAGATTCCCTGGATCATAGGCTCCATCATTCCCTGCCGGCGGGGTCCTTTCAGCGCGGACTATGGTATTTGTACACTAGGGGAAACGCTAGGCCAGGGGTCTTCAAGCTTAGCCCTTTTATGACTTGTGGACTTCAACTCCCAGAATTCCTCAGCCAGCGTGCCTGGCTGAGGAATTCTGGGAGTTGAAGTCCAGAAGTCATAAAAGGGCCAAGTTCGAAGACTCCTGCGCTAGGCTATGAAATGTCAATCTAATAGGCTACTCTGAATTAGCTGGATAAAGTGTCTCTCCCTCTTTCTCTCCACTCCTCCCCCCCACACACACACACAACTGCTTTTACCAGTCTGGATGCCAGCAAGGAACAAAAAGCAATAAGGAGTTTGATTAAAACTGAGTCGGAGGGAAGTTATTGCCTGCTGAATGAAAATAAGAACTTGTATTATTTAGATGGCAGAGGGAGAGATCTGTAAATTATAACAGCTTTTATGTTTATTTTCAAAAATGTTTTTTCCCATTATGACAGATACAGGCGGTGGTGAGTGGGTTATCAGGTTTTTGTCATGTGGGTTGATTCTGTTGAGAAGGCAGTAAGCAGAATGGTAAATCTCTGCTTTGGCTTCAGGGCGTATCAGATTTTATGCCTCCCAAGCATATTTGGGAAAGGCCGCCTTCAGAAACCTTGGAAAGCTGTTGTCAGAAGCTGTTGATGAGTTTCTGTTGTGATATATGGAGCTGAAATGAAATGCTTCAGAAAGTTCAATACAGCTTTTGATAGCTCTCTATCCAGCCTACTGTTTAATCACAAGACAATCTGTTCTATTGTAGAACAGCTGTTTTGGTCAGAATTTTTTTCTCATATTGAAATGAAATATACTTCCTTGTAATGTAAATTAATTATGACTTGTCCTGGTATCTGGGACAATGCTGAACAATGCTACTCATATTTCACATGTTCTTTCAATACCTGAAGTTAACTGTCAGGTTTCATTAGATGTTTCTCTTCTTCTGGCTAAAAGTACCAAATGCTCCCAACCATTTCTGGTAAGCTTTCCGTTCAGGCCCTTTATCATCTGGACCAGTGGTGGGATTCAAATATGTGAACAACTGGTTCTCTGTGTGGATGCCGCTTCCGGAAGTCCATTCTGGGCCTGAGCAATAAAAAATTAGCTACCAGTTCTGCCGAATCCCACCACTGATCTACACTGTCATCTCCTGGATGCGTAGCTGTTTACTATCATTTTTCCTAAATACAGTATCCAGAGCTTGATGGAATGCTCTAAGTGCAACATGACCATCACAAATAGAGGAACAATGACTTGTCTTGGTCTTGCCATTGTACTTATTTAATGTAGATATGGATTGCATTTTTGCAACTGTATGACACTGCTGGTTCATGTTCATCTTTTGATCTATCCATTGCCCATGTGCTGCTGCCTGACGTAGTTCCCCACAATATATGCACTTCGATATTGCACAGATTATTACCCTGCAGTATGCCACTCACCACTTCCAGATCAATGCAAGCCATTCAGAAGCACTTAATGGGTATGATTGTTCAACTAGCTTTGTACCCACCTAAAGATAACAGAGAGAGCCAATCTGGTGGAGTTGTTAACACATCAGGCTAG